TAAAAGTTTTTGGTTCTATAATGGTGTGATCTAAAGTTTGATTTTCTTTTGTGAATAAGAAGTAATTTGATATAGTAATCAAGGACGGATGAATACTTCAGACATCACAATGCAGTTATAATAGTAATGACATCTATTTTTCATCTTTTCAGACTCCTTGTATGTGTTAAAATACAGCTCATTAAGTACTGTAGGGTCTCTCAGTGAACAATTTAGCATTATGGTTTTTTTCTTCTGCCAGCAGCCTGAGCAAGAAACTTGTTTCCCATCAGAGGCAGAAGGCATTTAGGCAATATTCAATGTTTGAGTGCAACCTAGGGCAGGTTTGCCCTTGGATGGGAGTCAAGCAGTCTTCTTTGCCTTACTTGTATCACTCATTGTATTCACAAGACTGACCTTGTCTCCCTGAGACAATTATTTTTTGTAAAGATGAACTTATGTGAGGACCTATGAAAAGATTTTGGCAGCAGGCAAATCAAAGCAGAGGATTTTTTAAAAATTCAGCATCTTGAAGGTCAGTTCTTCCCCTGAGTCATGTGTTTTACTCCCAACATGCCCCAAAGCCAGAGTGATGGAGCTCACCCTGCCAGGCCAGGGTATGGGCATGTTTGAGCTCCATCCCTGCCACTTGAGCCTTGCCTGGAACGTGTAAGAGGCAGGAATATTTCCACTGCCTTCAGTGGTAGTTTTGTACCAGACCCCAGTGTTCCAAGGGGATTAAACCCCTAGGCATAAATCCATCCTAAATTCAACACTCAATAAGTATTTGAGCATGCATTTGTTCTTCCATGTAAATTGGATAAAATTTTAAAATTTCTGACTGTCCATATCTTTCTATTTTTCTTCACCCCTCTCCCCCTGCTCTGAGCTGCAATTTCTCTGCCATTATATGATCAGAGCAATTGCATGCACCTCTATTAATTGCCCTGAATTTCTCTTTCACAAGGTAAGTTTCTACTCTTATTTTTCCCTCATCTTCAGAAATTTTCCCTTTTTCTTCTACCAACCTGATAGCTGTTCAGAAGCTGCCAAGATGTATTTGGCTCTTGTATTTACTCCAGATGGAGACTTTTATTTTCACTCATATCTGGCAGTAAGAACTGTGGTATCACCAAACACAACTTTTCTCTGAGATTGTTTTGATAGAAGAAAAGAATCGTTCCTTTTGCAGATGGTTTATAAGTTACTTCTGATGACAGATAATACAGTCTAGCCTAGATCCTTAAAGTTCAACAAGACTCACAATAGCCATAAATAGTTGGATTTTTCTGGTTTATATGCCCTCAGGAATAACCATCTGGATATGTATCCTTTAGTAGTCTAGGATTATTGTTTAAAAGTAAAGCTAGAAAATACCTGGAATGAAATCTGTGGTTTTACACTGAGCAGGGATAAATGCAGCCACTCTTACTCCATCATATCTGTCCTGTGTGCATTAGATATGTTTGTAACCAGTTAAGGTTTCCTAAGAAGCATTGAGAACCAGTATAAAGGCCCTAAATAGGCAGAAATGCTGTCACTGATTTCATTTCACAGAACTAGGTCAAGCCAAATAGCTGCTCTGGTGTGTGCTAGAGGCAAGGCAGGGTGCTGCATGGATGGGTAAAGGTGAGGAACCCAGTGCCACACCCAGCTCTGCCACTGGGCCAACATCCAGCACCAGAGTATTCAAAGGTCTGAAATTAATGCTGCACAAGGAGCAATCTTCAGAGTATCAAATCTCTTGCAGGGCTGAGCCACGCACCTCTTCCTTATTTTTTTCCATCTGAAAATATAAACTGCTTCTTTTCCTCCTTTCCATTTCACTTTGGAATATCCATTTGGAAATTTAGGGCAATATGATATCCTGGAAATGATCTCTCAGATTAGACACTCTTTCTGGTTGTTTTTCCAGCATTCTACATGTATTCATCTTTGTTACTCCTTTGCTTCCATGAGTTTCACTGGCATCCTTTTAGGCAATGGAATCAAGACAAAAAAATGTTCACCCGACTTATTTTAGCTAAGAGGCTTCATATTTAATGGATTTGCTGTTCTTTAATGTCCCAGGTCACTCCCTGAGATCAGCAAAGGCTGAATTTCTTATCGCCCTTATATGTTATCTGAAGTCATGTTGTTATTTCTCCTTTAGTGAGTCTCTTTGCTCTCGGGCTTTGGAACCCACTGCCAAATGAAGTAAAGAAAGCTCTGACTATGGGGAATTTCTAAATCCAAAGTTAAAAGTTATTTGTTCTGTTTAGCATTTTTAAAATTATTCTTTTAGGAATTGTATGTGCCTCTGAGCTAATTAACTCTTAATGAGCGCAAAATGCCCAGGGATGCAGACTTGGACGGTACAGGAGAAATGCAGACATGGATTGGACTGCAGTACTGCAGCAGATGACATTTATGATTTGAATCTTTTTTAAATGATGGTGCAGATATTTTTATTGAGATACTCTTCCCCCCCACACCCCCCTGCCCTCCCCCCATCTTTCTATTCTAAATAAAGCTGATCAGATTTTCAGTCCACCATATGGGGCCCAGTTATATCAGTCCTGCAAATACACTTTAGTTTTTCATTACGGATGAAGTCACTCTTCAGCAGGGAAAACAAGTTGAGAAACAAACTTTCATATTATGAAAGACAGGCAGTGTTCCAGCACTGAGCACTTAACCAGAGCATCAGGAAATCAGAACACCTGGCTGTGCCCAGCTCTGTGCTATTCCCCTGGACCAGTCCTCACCCTTTTAGTGCCTTCACTCATTCATCTGTAAAGTGACTGTAATTGCGTTTATATCACAAGGGTGCCTTGATGCTTGGCAAATGAGAATTGACCCAAAATTCATCCTTCAGAAGCACTGTATGAGCAGTACCTCGCTCACATGGTAATTGTGGACAATTAGATTAGAAGCGGTATAAATGCAGTGAAAGTGAAATTCCATTTAGGAACTGTCAAACTGTTCTTGATAATTTTTCTTAGTTTTCATCTAATTCTAGTGTGGGATTTTGCATGCATCTCCCAGAAAGGCTTTATGTGCCTCTTTTCTTCTTCTGCAACAAGACAGCATATTTTATTCTGTGTTATATTAAACTGTATTTTGGGCAAGTGGTTTGTTCCCAGAACAGTACCTTGGAAAGCTAGGTTTAGAGAAACAAAGAAAAATTATAGTGTCAAAGAAATCCTATCCTCTATGTATTTGAGCAAATTGCAATCACTGACAAGGATTGTACACAGAAAAAATATTCCAGGTTTTATGAAAAGGGGTTTGCCTAAGTGTTGTTATGTTTTATTTAATTAGATTTTTTTTATACTTGCCATAATAATGTTTTAAAATTAAGCTGAATTTCTACAACAAACTGTAGAAACATATGGTGTACAGCCTGCAGAGGCACTTAATGGCAGTAGCATTACTGATATTTCTGAGTTAGAACCTGCTTTCCTCTGAGAAATAGCTGTGTATTCTCCCAATTTAAAACACTGTTTTACTCCAACCTTTTTTCACTGCAATTAACAGTTTGGGGAGGAAAAGAATGAATGTGATCTTCTTAAATACATTTCCTCATTTCTACATGGCTGTGGATATTTCAGGGCGAGGGAAGTTGTGTATCAGACTCAGCCTCTCCTCTATGTGTGCCATGAACCCACTTAATGAAACCAAGTGAATTAAAGGGGGCCTGTTTTACCAGGATCTCCCCCAGGTATATCAGTCTGGAGATATACCTCCCCCAGCATATCCCAACACCAGAAGGAAAAAATGGAATTGTTGCTTGCTTGAGCCACTTTTCCTAACAAAGGCACAATCACTTGGGGCAAACCAGATTTCAGGATGCCAGGAGGTCTCTGTCAGTGCCCCAGAGTAAGCTCCAGCTCCCAGGAACTGCTTCCAGAAGGATTTGTAGTTACAGCGTGGTTCCCTACAAGAAATCATATGTCTGAAAAAAAAATCCTTTGGATGTTAATTTTTATGTTCAGACTTGCAAAGCACTTTAAGAACAACTCATGCTCACAAAGAGTATTCCACTGACTTATCTCTAATGCATGCTTGAGAGGCTCAGTGCAAAATGAAATGCAGAGATTAAGTAAATGAAAAGATACCAAACATTGCAGCAGGGAATCATTCCAAGTTGTGGTGTTCTCAGGAGCACCAGAGCTGGTTTAGGTTCATGCTCATCCATGCAGAGTCTGCAGAATTTACTTTTTAGACATTTTTAATCTGCTCTGTTTTAGTAACCAGGTTCCCAAGACTGTCCCTGGTGATTGCACTCTTCATACCTGAGGGTTCAGACCACACACACTCCAGTGCCCAGATCATGGGAAAATTTGACCTTTCAAAAAAATGCCATGCTCAGGAATAGAGATGGCAAACCAGCCCCTCCCAAACCACTGCACACCCATGAACTGCAAGCAACAACTTTGGCAAGATTTGCAAGCAAAGGCTCCCCATCATCCCAGTGCCTGTCAAGGTAGAAGCAGGATAGATCGTGGTGCTCCTCTGGCAGATTCCTGAGCTGATTGTTTTGCCTTGGTAGCTGTGAGTCATTAAAAACTCACTTTGAATGCAGATATAGGTAGTTTTTACTGATAAACCAGGCCTCAACTCAGCTCTCAGTCTTCAGTGGGTTAATGGAAATTTTCAGTGGGCTCATAGAAATAAATGGTTTTGTAGGACACAGGTCCACCTCTTTAGCTTACCATAATTAAGTGCTTTAAGTTCCTGTGAGCTGGTGATGGACCAATGTCTTAACAAACTGGAAAATGGTTCAGCCTCTAAATCTTCTTCCTTTACCCTCAGTCCTAGTCAATATGGGTCTCTTGGCTTTCATGCAGTAAATTTGCCATTTATGAGGATGATGTAGGAAGTCAAAGGAGGGATATTTGTTTTATCTTTGCTCAGATAGGAGGTATTTAATTCTAAAGTGGACCTCTCAGCAGCTGATATCAGGTGACTAATCTGCAGAAATGCCCAGGTTCCTCAGTCAAAGAAGTGAAAAAGTTCTTTCTGACTGTCTCTTTCAGGATTTCGCTGACTCCGTATACCAAATGGTTGCACAGAAGTTCCAGGAACTGACAGACAATTTCACTTCCATGCATGCACGCCACAAAACTCTTGCAGGCATTGTGATGACCAAAGGTAAGATATCCTCTCATTTATTTTCCTCTAGCATTTTTCATGACTAAGTAATACATTATTTACCTGGTTCACAATACTGAAGGATGACTTTACTCCCACACAGAAAAATTAATAGTAATGCAGTGAAAAGAGCATTAAATATTTACACCTCAAGTAAGTAAGTTCACACAAAAAATATTGGCAACAGAGTTGAAGATTTATTCATAAATATGTTGCTATGTTTCTTTGTTTACAGAACAAAATGCAGCCCTCTCTGATTTTTCATTTCCTTGCAGTCTGGGGAGACATTTAGTTATCAATAAAAGTAGTATTATTTATTAATTACTTTCTTAGGTCTGTATACACCAAGTTCTTGTTGTACAACATAAACTTTGTTTTAGACTGGCAACAGAAGCAAATATGCTTTCCAGTTAAAAGAAACAAACACAGAGTATGTGTAATTTTAGTTCTGCTCTTCTCTAACCAGGAGAAATACTTATACTTACCAGCAGGGCCAAAATTTGGTATTCAGTCACGTTAAGACTTGACTGATTGACACTGTGGAAATCTTCAGTGCTTTGATGAAACAGCTGCATAGATGATCCTTCTTTGCAAGCACCCCTCAGTTGGGGCACCTCAGTATTTATGAGGATGTCAGCAGTGGAGATGCTTCCATAAACTTCATTTTCTCTCTGACTCTTGGAGCAGTGGGTCCAGCACAGAAATGAGAAGATAAGCTCGGAGGGGAAAGGCATATATAATTCATCCAGGCTTGTCTCACTCCTTCCTTTCAACAATTACATTAGCTAGGTTCAGTAGGGACAGTTGTGAATATTGCAAGACAGCAGGATAGAGACAGGATTTTCTGATGGATCTTTTCCAACCACAGAGCCTAAACGCAGATATGATTTCTCTGCTGAGAATCTCCTTTTTTGATATGAAAAGAATAAGTAACCATATTTAGTATGAAGGAAAATAAAAAGGAAGTGTGATTGACTTTGGGATGTGAAAGAAGCACACTAGACCCAGCATACCAGCTGCCTTGTCATTGTCAGATTTCTTGACTGTGGCTTTCATCAGATTTAAACAAAGTGCTGTAGTTTTTTTAGAGGAGCTCTTTCCAAGCAGAAGCACAAGGAAGAATGTTTAAATATACTTTTTACAAGAAACTAAGCTACAGGAGCCAAGAGCTGTTGCTTTAATCACATGTAGGGGTAGAGCACAGGGGAGGTTACACTTACTCAGTGTAAGAATTGTAAGAAATGCCTGTAGGAATTTCATCCCATTCTACTTTGCCAAGGAGCTACTCCTATATTCTTTAGCCCAAGTCTAGGCCAGCTTTATAAAGCATGATTGAGCCACTGCAGCCTTATTTCTACATGTCCAAAGAAGCAGATTAAAGACCCACAATATATGAGAAGAACAGCAACTGGAAGGAGTCATAATTCCCAAAGTCATGGCTGCTGAGTGCACGCAGTACTAGGGGAAGAAAAGGGCACTTCCAGACTTTCTTAGCCTTTCTGGGCAGTTGGAGCTGTCCATGTCTCTTCTTTAGGGAAGGGCTGAAAGTGTCCTTATGCTGTTTGTTTCTTTTAATGGGTCCCATGCCCTTAGTGGGATTTTATAAATTAGTGTTTTATATTTCATCTTAGTCATCATTAAGACAAAGTATAATTTTACTTACGTTCACAAACTATTTCCCTCAAGGCTTCTTTTTCAATTCTCAATTCCCTCTCATGAATTTGTTCAATCTGTCAGCCATCCAGTTTGTCAATATCTCTGGTTTTGTGGAACCCAGAAAAGAAACTTGCAGATATGAGGTGATTCACAGAAGATGCAAAGCTAGAAACAGCCTTATCTTAGTATATTCTCCAGGAAGATTTGAGTTCTTTCCAGCACAAGAATCTCAGCCAACCAAGGCAAGATGAATCATCTGTCATTTGTGTCATTATTTTCCGTACTAAAGTTGTAGATTTGTGGTCTCTTCTTCACTATCATTCCCAGAAGTAGCAAGGTCCTCGACACATGCTTTTCAAGGATGGCACAGGCAGGTTTTCCACATCAAGCATTCAAATGAGTACCAATTCCCTGTGTTTTCAACAAAAAATTTGGCAGAAGCTGTCTTAGATCTCTGCAAACAATTTACTAATGACATCAACAAAAACAAATCTGGAAATGTCTTGTTGTATTCGGTACCATAAGTGACAAAAACTGATTTGCTTTTACCTTCATTTCAATTTACTGTCATCCTGACTAGAAGCAGATTTATCTGTGCTTGTACAGTTTCCAGGCAAAGCTGGCAAAAAGCACAATGGGATTCTGTGATAACTGCTGTTAAGATAATGCAAGATCTCTGCAGACAAAAAAGAAGTGTGCTAGATTGGTTTTGTTTTTCTGAACTCTGACATTTTTTCTGTCATTTCAATTTCCCAGGGAAACCAAAGAGAATTATGTTTGGCCACTGTAATTGACTTATGCTGTAGCACCCGGGGCAAATTCCAACGTGTTAGAAAGAAAAAAATGTGGAAAATTATGTTATTGACGGAGTGAGAATGTTCTACAGTAATAAATTGCTAGTCAGTGAAACACTCAGTCCAAAGCATTTAGAAATTCTTTGCTCTGAATTGTGATGACAATTAAAATCTCCATGCTTTTTTTGTGAAAGTAAGTTTAGTTGTTCAGCAGACATCAAGATAATCTTAAAAATATTGGCCTAGGCAGGAGCAATTCACCACACTAGATACTAGCTGATGTGATCTTAGCTGATGTAATACAGTAATTGAATATAATAATAACTAAAAACCTCACATAACTGATCTTGAACTAAATGTTTCAAAAGATGGAAGAGTTTAAGTCAATTATTTAATAGTTATAATGTATAATGTCATAATGTTATTTGAAATCTGCCAGTCCTCTAACATACTCTAATTTTGTTGAAACATACTCAGAGAAAATTGTTCTCTCAAAAATTGTTTGATCAATTCTAAGAAAAATTGTTTAACAAGTAAGTGCATTCAAGTTTTCCTCATACAACAAGCTATAATCCAGAGACTATCTTCAAGTAGATTAATAAGTATACTTATTATTGTAGCATTATATTTATATGAGGACCTATGCTTTACTGCACATTGACTCTCCACAGCAGATCTGCTGATCTCTCTGAAGAAATGATGAATTCACACATGGGAAATTAAGAACATCAGCTCACCTGTGGAAAAGACATTCTGGATAACACCATGTCAAACACAAGCCATCAGCTCAGAATGTGCATCATGTGATGCAAGGATTCATCTTCCCTTGTCATGTTTTCCATTAGTGGCTAAAACACAGCTGATAACACAACATTTTGGCTATGTGCTTGCAAAGTGCCAAGACTATCTCTCTCTCCAGCCCTATCCCCAACAAGTTAAGCTGGAGGTGAGCAAGAGACTGAGAGGGGACATAGCCTGGACAGGTGTCCTCAGCTGATGGAGGGAGGATTTCTTGCCACAGGACACTGTGCTCAGCAGTAAAAATTTGGGGAGAGGGAAGTGGGGAGATAATTGGGTTTATGGCATTTGTCTTACCAAGCAACCATGAACTATCATTATATCAATGCATCAATCTTGCTTTTCTTCTGTTTCTTCCCACTCCCAGGGGAGAGTGGAATGAGGGAGAGGCTGTGTGGGTGTTTGGCTCTTGGCCAGGATCAACCAATATTTCATTTTAGCAGCAGCTGTTTCTTGATGTTTCTTGTTGTCAGGGAAAGATGACCCACCAGCTCCCCATCCTTCTGTCTCTCAGGTGCAATTTAGACATCTTATTTTGACTCACCTGTCTGTTGTATCTTTCTATTGAAAAGTTTTCAGAGAAAAGTAGTTTTCAGAATTGTTATTGTTATTGTTATTGTTATTGTTATTGTTATTTCAGTTGATACGTTTGAAAAAATGAAGGGCAAGCAAGCTATTATTTTCTAACACAAGGCAACAAATGCAAAACCAGAGCACTCTCACATACCTCTGGGCCTGATGCCCAGAGTCCCAGATTGTGGGGTGACAGAAGGAGCCCCTGTGGTCCCCCACGGTCACCAGGCAGGTCAGCACACAGGGCACTGAGGGGACAGTGGGGCAGTGCTGCCTGTCCCCCAGAGCTGGGAGGTAGGAAGTCCCAGGGCAGGGCAGAGCAGGGTGGGAGATGTGAGCTTCACACAGTGCTGTGATCTAGAGGCTGGTGGCATTCACACTGTTTATTGGCATCACATAGAGAGTTTGGCCTTTGCTCCACCTGAAATCACCAGGCACAGCAAAGAATTCCTGTCACTCAGTAAAGAGATGATTTATTATTGCTGAGGTGCTCTTTGCAAAAAAAAAAAAAAAAAAAAAAAAAAAAAAAAAAAAACTTGCCATAATCATTAGGGACAAAATGAAACTGCTATTTAAACACAATTTTCCCATTTGTGTTTGACAAATCTTAGCAGTTTAAATACTGATAGGAACTTTTTGTCATGCTTTCTGTTAAAAATGAAGCATTAAGAAAGTTCAGTCCTTTTCACAGCAGTGTAACATTCATAGAAGAAGATTATGAGTTGATTTCTCACTTCAATTTTCTCTCTTCTGTACATATATTTTTTTAAGGCTGACAATCATTTTGATGTTAAAAGCAAATTAGGAGGTCTTCTCAGTTATCTTGTGTGAAATAATGATGAACTGGACAAAAGAGCCCTAAATAGAAATTTCATGCTGTGATAAAAGATGGAAAATTATCATCCGTATCTCATGGAATGGATCTTAATCATTGCTAAGTGGAATAACAGAAAAAAGTAAAGTTGACAATATGTCTCCATGGATCTTTCCAGTCACATTAAGATTCACAAAGCCTGGCATTTAAGTACAATCAGAAATACTGCTGTCCAATTGATTTCTAATCCTCAGTATGAATAGGAAAGTTGCAAAGCAGTAGAATACAGTAAAACACTCAGGCCATATGCAGAGTCCAATTTGCTCCATCCCATGCTACACTCAAGGAGCCAAACCAGTTAGAGA